GCCTCATAGAAAAGCAACAAGATATAGGTGTGATATATACCTGAAAACCACAATAGTGCAGCTAAATGAGGCTAGAATAGAAAAGTAAGTAGTAGATTAATAATACGCGGTGTGCAACATTTTATTATCTTTATTACGTCACTAATTCAGAGTAATTTGTCTGTTGAACCCTAAAGAAATAAACATTATATAAGAAGTAGTTGCAGCATCATGTGAACCGAGAGCGTCTGTAAAATAGCCGCCGTGCTGCTCCTGCTCTGAGTCAACGAGAAGGAAAGTCAGGATCTCCTCCAGGTGTGGAGCAGCTTGTTATCACTGACCTGAAGTGGGAATGTAAACTAGTGCTGATGCAGCAGCGAGGGAGTCGGAGGCTGTCATCAGAGGAGATAATGACAGAGCTCCTCTCCACTTTCCTGTCCGTCCTCCATAACTCTCCCTCTGAACCCGCCGAACTCTCCTTTATCAGTTTCCTGCTTCCCTCTTTGAAGGCCTCGGTGTTTTCTGCTCCTCTCTGACCCTTTCAGCTTCTTGTCTCGCTCCTGGTATCTGGTCCGTCTCGTGGTCTCGACTCGCTGGTTCGCTGTTTAAATGATCCTAAAATGGTGACGATGATGATGTTCACTGGAGCTTTAACATGACCTCATTCGATCTGCAACACCTCCTCACAATCCTGTACAAGTCTTGTTTTGAATCACAAATAGTTTCTACGCCTATAAAAAAAATCCTTTTACACATATACTGAGGATTTTAAATGCACATTTTGCTAACAGCTGCCAAAATTAGTCGAGTACGGTTTTGTTTTGCACTCGTAAATTATTATTCCATATAATTAGGAACCAGCTAATTTCAGTAAACATTTGGATTACTATATTCTGACAAATCTAAATGTCATTTTGCGTGTTTGTTACACAGAAATTCATATTAATATTGGAAAGAAATCCATTTGTTATTGATGTTAACGAGTTCCGCTAAAGAAACGGCTTTAATATTCTTTGTTGAGGTTTACATTTGATTTCCAGAAGCAGCAGAGTGACAGTCAGCGAGTTTCCACTTTGATTTTTAAAACTTTAAAGCGCAAGAAATGCTGAAAAATGCTGTAATTAATGCATTAACCTTAGTGTACATAAAGAAAATCTGCATGATCTCATTGGAGTCAGTGACCTGGGATCAATTTTAGAATTTGAGAATCTGTCCTAAATCGAATTGTGACACCAAGAATCAACTGAAATATTACTAAAAGATGTGATTCAGAAAGTAAAGTGAAATCGTTGTTAACTCGTCATTTCTCTTTGTGTCTCCTAGATGGCTGCCTACTTTGGACATTCAGTTGCCGCCTCCGACGTCAACAACGACGGGTAAGTCTGCTCCGGTTCCTTCTCCCTGCTTTAACAAACTAGACTCTTCTGCTGCCAGAGGCTCCCGGCTGCTGAAATTAAAGGCACATGAGGACTTTTTATAACCTCAGTCGTCCTCTGGCGAACCCCGCGGAGCTGCAGCAGCACTTCCTCGCGCCGCCCTTCTGACACCTCCGGCTTTGAAGGCGCTTCTAAGTGAAACCAGATTCCAGATCAGGTTTTTGTGGACGAGTTTTGGTGTCAGTGCCGGAGTGAAGAGTTTACGGGTCGTCGCACCGGAAGAAGGTGGACGTCTGTATGGTCTGAGCTCTTGTTCCAATGAAAATAGTGTGCAAGAATTTAAAAAATCCACCCAGCTGACTAACCTCAGTCTGCAGAAGATGCACATGTTGGATTTTCCTTCAGTCCTGCTGTGTGAACACGAGTCGATTTGTTTATGGAGATACACAGAAGATGCACTGATTCAAGGTCAGGATGCTGGTAAACATTTAGATGTTTGTTAGAGGAAACAACAGATCTGATGTTTGCATCTCTTCACTGGAAGCCTGAGTGACATCTAAAAGTCACATTTGTTCACTAAGTCTGTCTGTTTTGGCCTTTATCGAACTTAATATGCCTCCTCAGGGGAGTGTAGAAATGTTTCATGCTTTAATTGAAATATAAATTAACAACAGGTGGATGAAAACGCACTTTACACCCATTTCAGACGGCATCCCAACGCGTCGGCTTCGTGCCTGAATGCGAACGCCGCTCGCTTTTCTATAAAAGCAGCAGTTTTATTTGGTCAGAGCTGGTCAGATTGTCAACAAACGTGCAGAATGACAGCACATTTGGAAGTTAAGTGAAGCATTTCTGCATTTATTCAATTAGTTCTACAGTTTCACATCTATCACAAACTGGAACAGGTCGGATTAACGAGACGCTCCAATAATTACCGTAATGTCTGGACTATAAGCCGCTACTTTTTTCACACGGTTTGAACACTGCGACTTAAACAGCGATTATGGATTTTTGCGAGTTTTACAAATTTGCCTCGAGACCAAAGTGATATTGAGACCGACGAGAGAGACTGAGGATATTCAGGTGCCCTCATAGTCCGGACATTACGGTAATGCAATCCTGAAGTTTACTTGGTTGCTTCCGGCTGTTTGTAGGAGTCTTTCCTCTGAGCTAATTAAATACTTGCAGGATCAATGTGAGCGAGTTGTAAATATCTACACACATGGAACGACAGCAGTAGCTTCATTACTGTCTTATAAATTATTCCCAACATGGAATTAGGATCTAACAGCAGGTCAGGCTGTACTTTTCTAAGTTTCTTGTCCTCGTATCGAGTCCTGAGCTGCATCATCAGAATATTTTTATTTCTCTTCTGGCAAAGTAGTAGTTTGATTATCGTCACACCTGGACAGAATCTTCATTAGTTATTTTTAATTGTCTGTTTAATATTGCGTCACATGATGAATGGTTTATCTAACATCAATCTATCTGACTTTTCTAACAAGTCAAATCCAGTTCAAAGTGCAAACGCAGGATCTCAAAAGCAGATTCACTAAAATGGCAAAATTGAATCGACCAAAACGAGAGCCGAGCAGTTCAGATACAATGAATGAGAGACGATGCAACACGTAAGGCTGACACACATTTCTGCCAGCTGCAGTTTGATAACAGCCGGCGGTTTGCAGCGTGTCGTAAAACACTGCAGCGCGCCAATTAGGAGCAAGAGGAGAAGACCACAAGCTAATGTAAAGGATGCAGGTATCGGACAATCAGAACTTTCTGAGTTCGGTGTTCAGTGTTCGGCCTGAAGGACAGTTTGTGTTGCCGTGCAGCACCCTGAAAGTCTGATCGTTCACATGTTCTTCATCTGTTTGTGTTGTCAGTTTGGTGGACCTGCTGGTCGGAGCTCCTCTCTTCATGGACAGAGGCTCGGATGGAAAGCTGAGGGAGGTGGGACAGGTAAGAAATGGCATCCTAACAGCGTCGCTAAATGTAGAAATGTTAGGTCAATAAAGCTTTCTGTTAATAAAAAACAAATGCACATGGAGCAGAAGCACAGATGAGCTTAGCATGCTAATATGCTAAATGCTATCAGGCTAATAAGGTGTCTCCACAGTGCTAAAGATACTCGTGCAACAAAGCTGTCTTAGTTCTGCAGCTTTAATGCAAGTTTAAAACTGACTTCAGCAGTTTTTAGAGCTACCATCCTCCTCTACAGCAACACAAGGGAACACTGTCTATACAGAACAAAAAGAGGGATTTTTAAAAACAAAAACAACATTTTTGGAGTACAACCTCGATTTATGAGGACGTAACACACCTTCACTGCCTCACAAATTCAGATCAGCTCATTCTCACAGACGGTACGGTGACGTTGTTGCTCTTTGTTTGTTGTCTTTAAAGAAAGCAGATCAGAAACCACAGCCGCCAGATCTGATAGATAAAGTTCCTCATAAAAGACTGAACATCACAGAAACTATCTGATTAAACTAGGGACCGTTTAGTCACATGTAGCCCTCCATGGTCGTTTCTAATCGAACTTTTATAGACTTTTACGTTCTATTTTACTTCTTTTACCCTTCTTTAAAAAACAATCCTTTTAATCGGGGTTTGTCTTGTTTAATTTGCTGTTGAATTTCATTGCTTTTGAGTTATTTTTGGTTGCATTATGAACTTCATCTCTCTCTGAAATAATAATAATAATACAAGCATGTGTGTGTGTTTTCTCCAGGTGTCTGTTTATCTGGGTCGAAGTGGGTTTTCCTTCCACCCGCCTCAGATGCTGACCGGGTCGGAGGTTTACGCCAGATACGGCTCCGCCATCGCCGCTCTGGGAGACCTGGACATGGACGGGTACAACGGTAAACGATGTTCGCTTTTTCTGTCTTTGTGAGGACCCCCGTTGTGTAGCATCTGAAGCAGCATCGGCGAGAGCCTTCAGTGGTGTAAATTTCAGCATCTGCAGAGTCAACAAAGGTCGCGTGCAGCCCAAAATCTGCATCCTCACATTGCAGTAGCGAGCATGTGCAGAACAAACCGTCTGTGTGTGCAACAGTACATGCATAGACGCAAAATAAAGGCTTGTGTTAGATTGTCTGCATTCACAAGTATTAACGGGTGCATTTTTCCCCCCATTCCCATGTCTGTAAGAGTTGGCACATCGCCCACAATTTGAGTCCGTCACAAGCCGAATACATGCAGTAGACATGGATGTGCTGTGCATGTGTGAAACTGGCCACTAGCTTCACACAACTTTGTCCTTCCACTGGCTGCATGCATCACTTTTCATGATGGGAAATGGAAACAACAACAGCCTCTGAACAGCAACCTGACAATTTAAAGAGTTTGCAGCGTCCTAGTGGATTATCAAATCCCATGTAAATGTTCCACCAGTCACTACTCTGAGGGAGCACCGCCTTCGTTTAGCCCTTCACACACATTTGTGATTGGTTTAGCCCTTTAACTCCAAGTCAGTCGTATTTGATAAATGAGTTTCTGAGACCTTCTACATCATCAGTGTGATAGTTTTTTCCCTGATAAACCTCTGATGTATGCTGTCGGACACACAGATAATCCACCATGGATCAGTAGTTCATGCACTAAAAATGCAGAATATAGCAAAAATTTATTAAAAAAAAAACTCAAATATGCAAATTTGTATTTCTGTTTTTTTCAATTAGTACTCTAGCTTCAAATAATGTAAATTTTCTGGCAGTTATTTCATGTTTCACAGGGTTAAAGGACTGCAAACAAGCCAGAACGTTTTCCCTCAGAACGATAGTGAGGTGCAGCCAAACCATTATGCACAAAATAAACACATTCAGCCTCATCGGCAAGTTCTCATGTCCACGTGAAGCCCCAAGTGTGTGTCACCGACTGCGCTACGAGGGCAGCAATGAGCACGACCGGAGCTCGTAGAGGCCGACCTGCTGCACATGTGTGGAACCGAGTCCTCGGAGTATATTAATAACAACAACAAGTACACGTCTGTGGTGTCCACAGCTGATCTACAGTTAATCAGGACTGAATGCTCACCTGAAGCCCCACACGGCCCTTTGAATTCATGAACCAGATAATCCTCACTGTGACGGTTTAGTGGAGAAAGTTCTCTGCACACACGTAAAAGATTACAAGATGTTGCCTGACCCCTCCAATCCCCTCCCTCGCGTCTCTTTCCCTCCTCCAGATGTGGCCATCTCTGCTCCCTACGGAGGCCCCGACCGCAACGGTTTGGTCTACATCCATAATGGCGGCCCGCGGGGGCCCGACTCGACGCCCTCTCAGGTAAACACCAGCGTTCAGTCCGTTCCAGTAACCAGGTCATGGTCAGGTTTCTGCAGTAGATAAATGAAATGTTTCTTTTCCAATTCTGCAGACGAATTTGTTGAATTTTTATCCTTTATGATGTGAAACGCTGTTAAACATCGACAGAAACCGGCGCCGCTATAGCTCACCTGGTCGAGCTGGCGTCCCATGTGCAGGGCTACAGTCATAATGTGGAGGTCATGAGTTCGATTCCCGCTCATGACCCTTTCCCACATGTCCTCCCCCCATTCTTCTCCCCTGCTTTCCTGTCTCTCTCTGACTAAAACTATCCAATAAAGGCACAAAGGCCCAAAAAATAACTTAAAAAAACAAACATAGACAGAAACACACGAAAAAATGACATTAGATTTTAAGTCAGGGTTAAATTTTAAGGTCTAAACTACAAAAACAAGATGCCCCAAAAACTAAATAATTTGCCTCCTCTTTCAGGTCCTGGAGGGCAAATGGGCGTCCAGCTACATGCCGCCTAGCTTCGGGTACTCCATGAACGGAAACACTGACATAGACCAGAATGGATATCCAGGTATGAACACACACAGACGCGTATCTGCAGAGGCTCAGCGGGCGGCGGGCGAACTGCTGATGTTTGCTTCTGTCTTCCAGATTTAATAGTGGGAGTGTTTGGAGCAGACAAAGCTGTTTTGTACAGGTAATCAAACCCTCAATCATACTGTGCTTCTGTTTGTGTGTGCGCGCTCACACGCTGCGACCGCGTGTGTGTCTGCCGATGGGTTTAATGAGCGAGGCCACCTCTGATATCAAAGAGCTGCTGTTTTCCTTCAGTTTGCTCCTACTGGCTTTATAGACGCCATTAAGGACGCGCTGAGGCCTTTCAGTGCAGCGGTGCACTGCCGTTCCTGATTCGTTTATCCCGACAGTTGTATCCTAAACGTTTAGCTGGTGTGCGTTAACCCTTTGCACCCACAATGATCCAACACCTACTCTTAGATTCAGCGGCAGCTTTAGAGGAGGTTAGCATCCCTCATAAATCAGCTTTGAAATCACAACAAAGAACCGACTTGAGCTGCTGTTCTGCTCTACCCGCAGCTCTTCTTCTGGTGGATAACAATCTAGAAATGTCTCCGCCGCACGTACGAGTCTTTCTCCCGTGAGTTCCGTTTCTCAAAGTAAAAAAATGTTTTCGTGTTCCAGAGCGCGTCCGGTGATCAGCGTGAACGCCACGTTGGACATGACGCCTCAGATCATCAACCCCGAGGAGAAGAGCTGCCAGCTGCCTGGTACCAGCACTCCCGTGTCCTGGTAAGTTCTGCAGGGTTCATCTGAAGACGCCCAGAGGTGGAAATCGGTAAATGCCAGTTTGTTGTTTGGGCGTAGATATCTTGGTGGTGTGACAGAGATTGTTGTCATCCGTCTACACTACCTTCTGCTCTGACCTTCTGATCAAGCTGCATTGTTGTCTCAGATTTCTAAGAGGCTGAAATTGTCCGTTTGTTAGTCAGTTTTTTGTTGGCATGCGACTCAGAGTACGACCACCTCTCCTCGTTTTGTGTTTCGTATTTCACCCCATAAAAGCAAAAGCTGTAATCATTACTCTTCAGTTTTGTTCACATTAAACCCATTTAGTAACAATTACTGATGTTTACGAGTGTTGTGCAGATTCTGTTGCCGGTTTCACCCTGTTTCCTGCCATTTTTTTGCTAAATGAGTGGTCAGATCTGATCCTGTTCCTATCAGCTACACGTACTACACTCGTTTCTCTGAGTGCTACAGCTTCCTCTGTGTCTTTGTGTTTTGCAGTTTTAAGGTGAAGTACTGCCTGAAGGCCAGCGGTCGCGGAGCTCCTGCTACTCTCAGTAAGTAAACCTTCCAGCAGCTACGAGGGTTCTTCAGAAAGTCCTCAGCCTCACCTGGAAACAAGAACTGTGTGACTGTAATATGCTGTGAAAGCTTTTATCCAGAAAAACTCAGATGTTTGGAGCAATCAGAGGGAAACGTAGAGGATAGCGTGGAGCTGGTTTGCTGTTTCTCCAGAACAAACCTCTCTGATATGACTTCTGTCTGCCTCCTAAACTGAAATGCAACCAGCGCGGTCGCCGTTTTCAAGCCTGAACGTCGGTCGACCAAGTGCAGACAATAACTAGAACAGTCTTTCTTCTTTCTACTGAGGCTGAGAGTTTATCGAAACCTTCTCTCTGCAACCTATCAAACGGTGCATCACTGGCTCGTCGTCTTCTCTGTTTCCCATCAGACTTCCGCGTGGACCTCATGCTGGACCGCCTGAAGCAGAAGGAGACGACCAAGCGCGCCCTCTTCCTCCACAGTCGCAGCTTCCAGTACTCCAAGAACATGACGGTGTCCAACGGCGGGACCACGGCCTGCGAGGAGCAGGACGTCTTCCTCAGGGTGAGCGAGGAGCCGAAGGAGCTGACGAAGAGACGCTGATTAAGGAGGATGTTCTATCCAACCTGGCGTTTGAACCCTTAAAGTGACGCACAGGTGTTAAGAGTCGACGGATTTCAGTTCAGCTCGCTACAACCTGCAGATCGTTGAACAGTTTACTGAGTAGTTCAAGTCTTAGGTTCAGTTTTTTGAGTATCTGTTCAGTGGATGTTCCTTAAAGCACCTAGAAGTCCACAAAAGCCTTGTATGTCACTAATCTGATGATCTGTACGTTTGAGTTTTAAGGTAACGTTCAGAGTTGGTGTCAAAAACATTTAATCAGTACGAATATAAACCTAAAAACTATGGAAGTTATTCTTAAATAAGATCTCCATAAACCTGCAGTTCCATTTTTTTCTTTAGTTAATTATTTAAGAAAAAAAACAAAAGCTGAGATCGATCCAGATGTGTCGTCCTGGTCTGATTCCCTGTGCGTTTCCCTCCCTCTCAGGACGACGGTGAGTTCCGGGATAAGATCACTCCCATCTCTGTGGTGATGGAGTACAGTCTGGACTACCAGCGGGCCGCCGACCAAACCGGGCTGCTGCCCATCCTCGACATGTCGGCGCCGTCCAACGTCACCAAGCAGGTGAGTGACTGCACCGGGTGGCTTCTATCAGGACTTGTTGTAGTCAAAAAAACAAACCGTGGCGATCACGTGATGACTGTGCAGGATATACAGATAGACAGGTGCTGGTATGACATGATGGAACCCAGTTATAGGACGCATACGTGGTTATTGATTTATAAATGAGCACAAGTTAATGTTTGATTAACTCATTTACCCCCAAAACCAAACAGCAGCCAACAAGTCTGTGGCTTTTGTGGCCCTTAAGATTAGATATGTGCTTGTGACAGCACAGAGGCCTGAAAGAAGCACGACAAGAATGACAAGAAGTACAATAAGGCTGCAAATGAAGTTCAGTCAAAGGTCTCATAAAGATGTGACGTGATGGTCTTTGCCTGCTTTGCCACGACTCGCTATCAGGTTTGATCGATCGGTGTTGTCACATTTCTGTCTGAGTCTTTTGTTTTCTCTCCTTCCTTTACTCCCTCGTCCCTCCGGCTCTCCTTCCTCCCGTCAGGCTCACATCCTGCTGGACTGCGGAGACGACAACATCTGCAAACCCGACCTCAAGCTGTCGGTGAAGAGGTGAGGAACCGTTCACGCTTCCTGTTCATTCTGTGAGATCTTACAGCGTTCAGACTAAAATTATTAAACTGTTGCCGTGCAGCGACCGCGAGCAGATCTACATCGGCGACGACAACGCTCTGACGCTGGAGGTCAGCGCCGAGAATCAGGGCGAAGGAGCGTACGAGGCCGAGCTCCACGTTTATCCTCCGCAGCAGGCCGACTTCACCGGAGTCGTCCGCAGTCAGGTGACGTGACCGAGCCCTCGTTCAGTACATTAGATCTGTATTGTTCAGATATTTTGGAAATATATTGGGAAAAGTTTTTAGTAATTTTGTTATTATTATTTTATTATTATGAATATTTTTCAGATGATTATTCAATATTTTTTAAATGACATTTTATCAATATTTTAGAGGCATTTCCTTTATATTTAATTTGTAATTTTCACTTTTTTTCCCTTAAATTTTATTTTAAAATTTTCTTAATTTTCCAGACATTTTATTTTTAAAATATTTGTATTTTCCAGATATTTTGGGAAGTCTTTCAGGAGTTTTTGGTAATTTTATTGATGGTTTTCAGATAATATTTTTCGAAATAATAATAATAAAAGAATTCTCAATAATTTAGAGACATTTAATTTATATTTTATTTATTTTTTTCATTATTTTTATTTTTAAAAATTCCCCATTTTCCAGAAAAGAAAATATTTATATTTTTTCTGATATTTCAGTAATGTTTTTTAGTACTTTTTGGTAATTTTATTAATGGTTGTCCCACAATTTTTTAAATAATTTTTAAAAAATTTTATCAAAATTTTAGAGACATTTAATTAAAGTTATAGTTAATCTATATTTGTCTGATTGTTATTTGTTCATTTAAATTTTTTAAGCATTTTTCAGACATTTTATTAATGTGTTTTTAAAACATTTTATTAAAATTTTAAAAATATTTTTCAGATATTTCGGTAATATCTTTGGAAAGTTATTCATTAATTTTATTCACAGCTGTCAAAATACTTTTTTTTTTTTTTTTTGACATTTTAACAATATTTTAGAGACATTCTTTTTTCCAGATTGTTGTTCTTTCATTTTAAGGAGAAAATTTCAACATTTCAGACATTTTAAAAGATTTAGATTCGTTTTACCAGTAAATTTATTACGGTTTTATTTGTGTTGTTTATCCTTTTTACAAATTCAGACATAATCACATCAAAGGGGTGCTGACGTGAATTCTAGTCAGAAATCAGGATCTTTATCAACGACTTGGACGCATTCAGACCTGAAGCGTATTCATATCTTCCAGGATACGAGTCTCTCTGATGTTCGTTCAGAATAAGCCTCCATATATCCACGTAGAAATGACAGAAAACAAGACTTCAGAACCCTCAGAATTATCAAACTGAATCAATCAATCAAAGTGACGAGTTGTGTTTTGTTGGTTACAGACTCTGTCCAGACTGTCCTGTGCCTACAAGAAGGAGAACCAGACCAAGATGGTGGTGTGTGATCTGGGAAACCCCATGAAAGGAGGAACTAAGGTCAGCGAGTCACCAGCAGGTCAACCAGGGTGGAGCTGATGTGCTGTGTGGGCGGTGCTTAGTGATGGAGGATAAACAAAGAGAAACATTAGGAAGCAAGACGAGTGTTAAGATGACATTAATAATACACTGCAGGGGGTTTATACAGGATGATACAGAGGAAGTTAAAGGGGTTTTGTGACTCTCTCCACGCTCTCTGATTGGTCCTCTGTTTCCTCTTCCCGCTCTGTGATTGGTCAGTTGTTGGCCGAGCTGAAGTTCAGTGTCCACCAGCTGTCGGAGGACGACACGTCGGTCAAGTTCGACCTGCAGATCGTCAGGTAGGTCCGGTCCATTGGCCGTTTTTATCCAGAACCCAGCCAACTTATCCCATCCATCCATCCATCCATCCATCCATCCATCCATCCATCCATCCATCCATCCATCCATCCATCCATCCATCCCAGCTCAGATTATCAGTCCTTCCTGCTGGATCGTCTCTGTTTGCTTGAAGCTTTTTTTAAATCAGCATCAAATACTTTCAGGGAAAAAGCCTCCTGAGAACGTTGAGTCTGTTTGAACGACAACATCTCAGCAGCTCATGAAGATAAAAGCCTGAAACTTTCTCTGCTTTTTCTTTTTATGTCACTGATTCACTGATTAAGAGTCTGTAGTGTTGGACAAGTAGATCAAATCGTCTCTGAATATCAGTGAGTTAGAATATTTAGAAAGTCTCGTCTCTGAGCTCACGTTAGCAGAAGAACTGATGAAGCAAAAGTCAGCTGGAGGTGCTTCCTGACCCACATGTAGCTGCAGCTCACCGCAAAACACAACACAACACAATACTATTTAATAAGAAATACTTGGTCACAAAAAGGGGAAGAGAAGTTATTTGTGTTGAACTTTCACGACTGATCGAGGAGGAATGACGAGCTGTTCCAGTTTTATTTCATATTTCAGTTCACCTACTTCAAACTATTTCATCTGCTCGTCCAATAAATTCTGAATCAACGTTATGATGAGAAATAACTGTGAAAATTTCAGGCGTTTACCTTTAATACGTCCTGAGATATTCTCGTTTGAACATCAGATTTCAATCAGCAAATAAACGAGCAGACGGTGGGTCGACGGGTGAATTTATTTTATTTTTTACCTCGGACAGAATTGAATAAATCAAGCCATAGAGATCACACAAATATCTAATAATACACATGTTTATTTAAGTCCTGGTTAACTGGAGTAAGGGAGGCACGTCTCTGCCTGCTGGCAGCAAAACAAGATGTGGTTTTATAGTAATTAGTAATTAGAAATTAGTCAAGAAAGAAAGCTGGCAGAGTTTTAAACCCTCAGAGGTGCAGCTCACTGGTTGGTTAAATACTGTCGATGTCATCTGCTTGTTTTTGGCACAAATCACGATTTCAGTTCAATAATTAATCAGTTGAGTTAAGAGTTTTTTTATATGTATTTTTATATAGTGTGAAGATTTAATTAATATTTTTTCTGATATTTTCAAAATATTTTTCAAATGTTTTTTTAGTCATTTTATTAAGATTTTTCAGATCATGTTTCGAAACTTTATGAATATTTTTGGGACCTTTTTATTTATGCTTTCTTTGTATTCTTCAACTTTTTTTTCTCGAATATATTTTATTTCTATTTTTTGAGAGAGATATTTTTTAATATTCAATAAATATTTTTGGAAGTTTGAATAATATTTTATTTATAATTTCCTGAAAATGTTTAAAATTAACATTTTCTAGATAATATATATTTTTAAAATTGTATCGATATTTTTCCAGATTTTTTTTTATTGTTTACATTTTGTAGATATTTTTTTATTAAGATTTTATTCATATTTTTCTAATATTTTCGTGATATTTTGCGGATATGTTGCACTGTCTCATATTTTTTAGAGATATTACTGACATCTTCTGTAATTGTAATAATATTTTACAGACATTTTACAATTTAGGAATATTTTTCTGACCATTTTTTCAACATTTTGGTGCTAAAGTTGAGTAAATCTGTCGTCCGTCAGCATCCGTTGAAAAATTAATCCGTTCATTTTTCATTTACTTAAATGTAAATATTATTTTGGATCCTTTCCTCCTCTGTGACGGGAAACTTTAAATTGAGAACAAAACAAGACATTTGTGATTTTATTAAAAACACAGATCAACATTTTTTTCAGCGACAGATTTGCGATGAACACAAACACTTTATTAAGAACAGAAAACCAAACGGAGACCCGCTGGAGAAAATAAAACACGACGGTTAAGGAGGACTGTGGTCCGTTGTACTGTAACATTATAAATCATGACGCTGTGAGCAGATCCACACCGAGGCCCGGTCGCTCTGCTCCACAGGAATCTCTCAGAAAATCAATACACGCTCATTTTCTGTCATTTTTCTCCGGTTGCTTGAAAACATAAATGACGGCGGTTCACATTCCAGCTGTGCAGAAACATGTTTTCACGTCGAGCGAAGATTTAAAACGTGCAGGAAGAGAAGAAGTCTGAGCAAGAAGGCTGCAGAATAAACAAACAAAATGATAACGACACTCAAAGAGACGACGACTGAAGAATCGACTCAAACCTCCGATCCAGCGTTTACACTCCGACACTTTAAAACCAGATAATTAAAGCGACGTTTTTTTTTTTCTTCCTCCTCATCTGAATGACAAAACGCCCGAAGCTGAAGGAAGCAGCTCTGGGTCGGCGTCGCATTCCTCCGCGGCTCAGCCTCTGTTTGTGTTTCTGCGGGGAGATGGAGGAAGTATGTTAATGAGAGGGTTCAGCCGTCTTCGGTTGCACTTCTGCTTCGGCGCTCCGACACTCGCGGCCACATTCACTGGCCCTTCAGAGGGTTGCCTTTTTTTTTATTATTGTTTTGTAAATGAATCATGGCTCAACAACAAACCTCCTTCTGCTCTGTCACGACACATAAACACACAATCACCAGAGTTTAGTTTTAGTCTTACATAAAATGAGTTTGGTCCCATTTCAGTCCTTTAAAGTCGCTGGTTTTACCCACAAATCATTTATAATCTGACTTTTCTTGGTGAAATTCTGTCGTTTTTGTTGCATTTTAAATCTTAATGTCTTCTAAGCAGCGCTGCCTGGGTTGTGTATGAACAGTTCAGTAATCAGTTTACATTTTTCAGACTTTTTCTGAATATTTTCAACATTTTTTGATATGCAGACAATGCTCAGATTTCTTTTTTTTTCTCTTTTACATATTAGTATTTTTTTCCGCAGATATCTAGTCATTATTTTATGAATATTTTAAAGATTTTTCATTTTAATAAAGAATTAATTATTATTTTTCTGAGGTTTTTTTCCTGTTTTTATTAAAAATTTCCTGATCATGCTTTTTTTTAAAAACACTTTTTAAATGTATTTTATTCATATTTTTTTATTTATATTTATATTTTTCTTATTATTATTTTATGAATATTTTAAAAATTTTTCTAAAATTTTTCATTTTAATTTAAATTTTTTCTGTGTCTTTATTAACATTTTCCAGATCATATTTTTTTTCAACACTTTATTCATATTTTATTTACATTTTTCAGATTTTTAAACTTTTTTAATTTATTTTTTTGCCACTTTTTAAATTTCTTTTTTAAACGTTCTGATAAAAAATTTTTTTTATAAGTTTCAGTTATATTTTATTTATATTTTCATCTATTTTATCAATCGTTTCTAACCTCGGATCATTTCCAGTTATTTTATTAAGATTTTATTACATTTTTGTTATTATTTTATTCATATTTTTTCTGATATATTTCACTACCTTGAATTTTTTAGACACATTACGAATATTTTCTGTAATTTTATTCAGATTTTTACAGACTTGTTTGGACAATTTGGGAGTATTTTCCAGACATTTCATCAACATTTTGCTGCTGTTTTTTTTAGATTGAAGCTGCAGGTCGTCAGCATTAATTAGCAGCTTTCTTGGTGTTTGTAGCTGGACCGAATCTCTGATATCATTTGATAAACAGGTTTAACGGTGCAGATGAGGACCAAGAATTTAATAATGTAGAAGGCCTCATCTGGTTTCAGAAAATTACAGAGGAGCCTCCCTCGGTGTGTTTGGAGCTGCTAGTAGTCTGTTTCATCAGATTATTGGTTATCTTTTATTTTATTTTACTCTTTAGATTTTACCTCCATGTGTCGTTTTTTATTTCCTCGTGTGTCTCTCTGGTGCTGCCTCACATAAAGGACCTTAAACAAACTTAAGCCTTTAACTCAGTTAATGATTATCTTTCACACAGAAGCCGCCGTCGTATAAATATTTGTATTAATTCCAGACAAATCCTCTCAATACATTCTCATAATTACAGTTATTCTGTCCACGCTGCCCCCTTGTGGCTGCTTTTAGCAACACAACCTGTTGTCCGTCCATTTATTTGTGTTGATTTATTTTGTGTTTCAGCTCCAACCAGTTTGACAACACCAGCCCTCGGATCTCCAGCGTCACCAAGCTGGCCGTCCTCGCCAAAGTCTCCATCAGAGGGTAAAACGCAGCTCCAGCTCTCAGTCATTTATGCTTTAATGGATCACTGAGAAACGAAGCTTCACTGAGGACAGAGACAGTTCATTGTATTATTAGAGGCTCTAATACTTGGTGGAATTAAAACAAACCAAACCTTGAATCATCTTTTACAGTTTTTTTGTGACTTTAGCTGCAGGTCGTACAGAAACAGAACCTGTTGGTTGTGTCGTTGTTCCAGGTCGTCGTCTCCCGGTCAGGTGCTGCTTCCCATCGCCAACTGGAAACCCAGAGAGCCTCCGGTGGTCGGAGACGACATCGGGCCGCAGATCGTCCACGTCTACGAGGTACGAACACGTTAGAGGTGGTTCTGTTGTTTAATGGAAGCAGCTGGACCTGCTTGAGTTCCTTGAAGACGTTTCACCTTCATCAAAGAGCCGTCATCAGCTCTGACTGACTAGTTGGGAGTTCCAGATATCCTAAAGGAGCCGTTACCACCTGAGTTTGGGTGTTCGAGATGTTTCTGTTGTTTCACTCTTCCTTGGTTATAAACGGGGTGGACAAATTAATAGAAACACCAGGGTAGATTTTGTTTTTCTTTGTTTTCCTGTGAACCTCTGATTCAGGAGCTATTTTTTTACTTCCCCAGCACATCATTTCCTATTTTTTTCTGGCAGTTTCCAATATGACACGCAGGTGTTTGTGCTCTAATAATGAACACGTTCTGTCTGGTGCCACTGAAGTTAGAGTTTTATTAGAACTATCGTGTCATTTACGGCCAAATGCAGGAAATTTTTAGGACTTTGTGAGGAAAATTTCCAAGAAATTACTAAAATGGAAAACTACTGTGAGTGTCTGGAGCCTCTTCGTCCTCTACGTTATCTCAAAGTGCACATTTCAATGAGAGTTAACGTTTGACGGCGTCATTCCACAACAATGTTGTCTTATTAAAATTCAGTATTTAATTAATCAGAGCGTGTTCCCTTTGAGGTTTGATTTTATTGTGTTGTTTTTGAATGTTTTGTTGATTTTTACTGATTGTTTTTGGTTTGAAAATGTTTTAAATCTCGTTTTCTGGAGTGAAAGTCGCGACGTGAATAAAACAGTGATCGTTGATTGATAAAGACGGATTTCAGACGTAAACTCTGAGTGAAATTTGGAAGTCAGTTGATGAGTTTCATCATTTCAAAGCTTCTTCTGGATCATTTTACTCCAGAATGAACTGAGGTTTCAATTTTTGAGCCACTGAAGCTTTTCTAACTGTTAAAAGTGAGTTGACCATGAGATGAATCCTAACCAGCTTTGCCCCTCGTCCAGCTCGTGAACAGCGGGCCCAGTACGTTCAGCAAGGCATCGCTGGACGTGGAGTGGCCCTACCAGTACAAGAACGGCTCTCTGCTCTACATCACCAGCTACGAGACCGAAGGACCAATCAACTGCACCACCGAAGTGCAGATCAACCCGCTGAACGTCTCCGTAAGAAAAAACACACAAACAGAGATACAGGCGACACTGAGACACTTTATAGCTTCTTTCTGGCTTGCTGAGTGCTACAGATGTTGTTTTTAAGTACTTTAATAGATATTTGTGTAGTTTTTCTGTCTAATTGTTGAGGGAATTTGAAGCAAGTGAATCTGCTTAAATAAATCAGGCTGCACACTGTTGCCAGAAAGTGGCAGAAAAACTTAAATAAGAAGAAAAACAAACGTAAACTTTGGTCGTCTACGAGGGGAAAACGGAGAAAAGTCCTCAGTAGTTGTTTTCAGTCAGGAAAGTTGTAGTTATTCTGTCACGTCAGCTTTTCTCTGACGTGTTTCAGGCTGGCCGGAGACGAAAACAACAGAAGAAGCAGCTGATCAGTCATTTGAGTTAAATATTAGAACCTATTTGAAGGTGTTTCCGTCTCCTAAAGTCAAAAACACTAAAGGAAGTGTTTTCTAATGTCACACTTCAAAATTCACTAAAAGTGCATCATGGAAGCACAGCTGATGGTGTGAAATGTGTCTCTTTAGCTTATTTTGGGTCCAACAAAGCTCTGAAAAGCCACTTTACTCGTCCTGTTAGCAGCAGACATGTGCAGTTAGAGGTGAGCTTGTGAACACAGTGGAGTGTTTAGCAGCTAAACAGCAGCTTAAATCCCCTCAGGAGCTCCAGAAAAAGAGCTGGAAGAGAGAAAAAGTAGGATTTAGTCTTTAGTCTGGGCACCAAACTGCACTGTACAAGCTTCATGTGCGTTTTTTTTTTTGTTGTGTGTCAGAACCCGCTGACCTCCCAGAAGAACACCAGCGTGGTTCCGCCCAGAGAGCGAGAGACGGAGGGACGGAACCGAAACCACGTCCGCAAGAGAGACCTGGAGGCCAGAGACGCAACCGGCGAGCTGCAGACACTGGTACAGACGCACAGCAACACTGGAAACAGACAGATTTGTATCACCATGGCAACTGATGCTGCAGAGCTAGATCACCACGGCAACTGATGCTGCAGAGTGAGATCACCATGGCAACTGATGCTGCAGAGCGAGATCACCATGGCAACTGATGCTGGTTCTGTTCAGAGTTTCAGATTTGAATCGTCTCCTTTTCGCCAGATCGTTTCCTGATGATTCTCTGGTAGTGATTCAGATTCTCAGCTGATGGAAAATGTTTTATCTGTGAACTTATTGATCTGTACGTTACTAAAACCACCAAACGAAGCCGTGCCGTTACAGCATCACACACTGGATGCATCACGTTGCCATGGAAACCTACATGTAATCAGCTGGTGATGCAGAATTCATAGAACACTGATTGGAACATTGATTATTCTGCTGGTATTTATTACAAAGAATATTCAATCAGTAACATTAATTTCACTTTGATTTGGCCAAAAATGTGATCAGTTTCTTGGATCATGGGACAGAATCAGACCTAAACGGACGTTAATACGACATCATGTTTAGATTTATGAAGTTTAAAGTTCTAATGTGCAGCTGTCAGAAACACCAGCCGCATTTTCTACGGTCGTACGTTTTTATATTCCTCATTGTTAAACATAAAACAACCGGTTGACTGTAGAAGGTGTTGATTTTGCGCAGAAGACGAGTCAGATGAAGCGTTAAATCACCTCATTTATGTGAACGCTGTAAGAGTTTGAAGCAGAAAGTTAACAAAGAAAGTCTATACCTGCCTTCATGACTCCTGTTCTCTCTGACTGGAGTTTTTAGTTTTAGTCGAGTCGACTCACACAAACAAAGTCTGGATGTGTTAAAGTCACGTCGTAGCGCAGCTCTCTGTTGTGTGACGTAACATTAAGAACTAAACCTACCGACAACAACCGATGCTGCGTCTTCAACACCTCAACAGTCCGTCTGTCGGGATATTTTTAACCCTCTTTCACATCGTGCTTCCACAGAAAAACACTCGTACACGTTCTTCCATCAGTTTTCTGTTTGGACATGAATGACTGACGGTGTTGCGTCTCTTTGTGCGTCTCTTTGTGCGTCTCTTTGTGCGTCTTCAGGACTGCACCACGGCCGAGTGTCTGCGGCTGAGATGTCAGGTCGGCCGTCTGGAGAGGAGGAAGAACGCCATCCTCTTCATCTACTCCAGGCTGGCCGTCAACAACTTCCTCAGGGTAAACAAACACTTATTTCTGATATCTGATCAACCCACTGAGCTGTTTTCCTGCAGAATCGTACTTCTTCTGTGAGTCAGAACCAGAACCGACTGTTCTGATTATCAGTTCTTTGGTTTGAGTGCATTTTTAAAAGAATATAAAGTCACATGTTTTTGGATTCAGGCGTCTTAAATGTGAATATTCTCTGGTGTCTTTCTTCCTCGGTGACAGGAAACTGAACATCTTTGAGTTCTGGACAAGAAAAAACATCATCTAACAGACATTTTTCATCATTTACCAGCATTTTGTGAACCAGGCAACTCACTGATTAACCGAGAAAAAAGAAAATTAATTTTGTTTATGAGATTCGGTTCAGCCTGGGCCTCCTCGTCATTATAAACGATGCTCATCACGTACTCATGTCCACAGATCCTCTAAGAAACCAAAGATCCACCTCAGAGTATTTTAATGGTGACAGTTTACGTGTAAACTCTTCTGCAGGAACTCATCTAGAAGAAGGTTTTTCTTGGTCTCAGCGGTTTGATCTCCGGGATGCGTTTGTCAGACGTGTGACTCTTGTTTTTTCAGACTGAGAACCAGAACCGGTCGCACGTGATTCGGTCGACGGCCTCCTTCACCGTCATCGAGATGCCGTACAAGAACCTGGAGAAGGAGCTGCCGTCCAACAGCACCACCGTGAGACACACACTGATCGACATTTACAGAAACGTTTCCTGAATTCAACACAGTCGGTCTTTATCGTTACCAACACAGGGAGCACTACGGAGGACGTAGATGACTTAAATGTTAGACACAGGCGTCATTATCAGGATCTAGGCTTCAACACATATAGAGACGAGTGTTGGTGCACATGAGCCTGTTTCATATAATAAATATGGAACGTTGCTGCTTTATTAAACCGTCATTCAGGTTCCTGGTGGCTTCAAACATTCATCAGATGTTCTGGAAAGAGACACAAACTTTATAAGAACACTTTCTGAAAGTCTTGTCTCGGTCTCAGACCAGCAGGACTGCAGGTTTATGTCCAGACTGGTTTAAACCACAGCTGCGGAGATATCAGTAGATTATCTGACTGACTTGTGAACATCATCATTGGGTTTAAACTTCCTGTTTCCAAAAATTTAGAAATTAAAACCTTGATGCAAGCGATGCTGCTCAAATTTGGTCAAACTCACAAAACAACATTTAAAAAAAGGTTTTAATTCAACTTGATATCGTGAACAAGACGTAATTTTTCCATCTGATGGCTCATCCTTAAAAAAAAAACAAAGTCTGAAGTTTGAACAACTTTAAAGTGAAACTGAACGTTAAGGTGTTAAACTACCTGGTGAATGTGTAAAAGGTGGATCTGCAGACTTGTTTACTCTATACATGAGTTTTTGAGACCTCTGCATCATCGGTTTGATGTTTTTTCATGACAAACCTGCCGTATGCAATCAGATAATCCACCACAGATCGTCATTCATGCATCAGAAATGACACAAATCAAAACTCATAAATGCATTTTTAAAAATATTTTATATGTCAGAAGGTTCAATAAATACCCCAGTTTCAAAAAAAAAATTGAATTTAACCATTTCAACACTACAGCCTGCTATACCGGGCTGGACTCCGGTTCAACCCTGCAGCCCGGTGTAGCGGCTCCGGTGTAGCGGCTCCGGTGTAGCGGCTCCGGTGCAGCGGCTCCGGTGTAGCGGCTCCGGTGTAGCGGCTCCAGTATACGGCGACTTCCTGTTACATTCATGTTGATTGTCTGTTAGTGGGAATCCCTGCATGTGAACAGGCGATTCAGTCATGAAATGAATTATGCAAATGAAGTAGAATGACGTCATTTGACCCCAAAAATCTCCAGAAAACGTGATTTTCGCTGCTTCGTTTCCAAAATGTTTCTAAACGATCAAAACTGACTAATTACTAAACTTTAGCTGACGTCTGTGTATAAGAACTGATCATTAATTAAATATATATCCCTGGTAGTTAAGACGTGGACCTTTTCTTTTTCACACCTGTATGGATATGACAGGAAGAAACTTTCATAGATATTTAACCGTCTACTTTTGATTGACACCAGATGTGTGATGATGCGAAGTCGACTAAAGAATTTAATCAAGTGATTAATCAAAACCACATCTGATCATGAAGTTCAAGCCAAAGTTACTCAGTGTTTAAGGAAAACACGTTCACGTGGTGCTGAAAGGGTTAACGTTGAGTGTTGCGTCTGCAGGTGAGCGTGGCGGTGCTGTGGGTGGCCGACACCCCTCCCCCGGTACCGGGCTGGGTCGTGGCTCTGGCGGTTCTGGCCGGACTTCTGCTGCTGGCGCTGCTCATCTTCATCATGTACAAGGTAAGAAACCAGAACACGGCACGACGCACGAGTGTCCACCGATTGGCCGGGAGCTGCTGCGTGTTCGAGGTTTATATATAGCTCACAGTCCATTCAGAAATAACTGGATTGGAGTTTTGTTAGATGAGATTATCTGAAGCACTATGAGTCGGATGATTTTTCTTTCAGCCCAGTACCAGTATTATGGACCTCTTCCAGTTGGGACACTGTTGGAGCAGTTTCACCGTCATACCTGCTCAGTGCATCTTCAAATATTGGTCATAAATGCAAAAAAAACACACTTTTAATCATTTTTTTTCTCATAAAGTACCAAACTCTACATTTTTAGAGCTCCTATTGGTGTCAATCAGCCTCTCAGGGTGAAAAACAGGTTTTATGGTTGGTGGAATAAATGCAAACGTGGACATTTTTCTACCAAACTTGCACCATCATATAACTGGTTTGTCTTCTTCTATCAGAGCAGGGTTGCACCATTAAACACCACATGTCCGTATCAATGGACCTGCAGAATGTCAGAACTCCAGCTGCATTATTTCTCCAGTTCTGGCTCTTCAAACGTTGGTCCAAGACAACGCCGCTAACATCGACCTGACCGTCCATCTTTAAGGATTTCTACACTTGTGACCAAACATTTCAGCCGTTTTAGTGAAAAACATACAAAGAAAAAACAAAACAGACAAAGACGAGACGGTCAGACATCAACTTTTGTTTTTAAATTTGGAGAATTGAGGTGAAATGAGCCATAAATCAGAGCTTGTAGAAGGTTGCACGCTGTTCAGGACAAACCTCACATTCACGACTAAATATGCGATTTGCATCCGCTTTCTTCTTCTCCTCCTTCTACAGTTGGGCTTCTTTAAGAGAGTGCGCCCCCCGCAGGACGACTGCACCGAGAAGGAGCAGCTGCAGCCGGAGGAGAACGGCAACACCGACGCCTAAAAGGTCCGACCGGGACGAACGCAAAGTCCAGGAGAAAAGACATCAGGGTAAAAAAAAAAAAAGGCCTCGGAGAGAATTTCACTGTATTGACTGCTGGATGGCGGATAACGGTACTGGTTTAAGGTTTAATGAGGGGTTTGGTTTGCTTGTTTTTGTTTTTTTTTTACTAAGTCATGTTGTGTTTGTGCCAAAAGAGAAGCTGGAAAACACTGATCACAGATAAAATCCTCAAAGCTCAAGCATTAACGCTTTTCAAGCTAAAGGACTAGTTTGACATTTTGGGGAAGAAGTTAAGGATCCACGAGTTCAGACGTTTGGATCGTCTCGTGTCTACGTATAGCTAGTTAGCATTAGCTTAGCATAAAGACTGGAAACAGCTAGCAGCTCCAAACCACAACATAATACAAACAACAATCCAACTATAAAAGCAACAATTCAGCATTTAACAGAGTTTTAAAGTCCCTCGATTTAGCATCCGTTAACCGTATATAAACATTTAATAAATGCTTCTTAGCGCACCGTGATGGATTAAATGTTCACCAGTGCTTTTATTACCAGTTAGAGCAACCGAATGTATGATATAAAATATGACTTTATCAGAGAATTTAGATCTCCTGACAAATATCAAGGGTTAATAAACACTTTAAATATTATTATAGACGTCTAGATTGTAGGAGATAAAGAATGAAACCACAAATCAGCATTTTTCTGCTTCAATATTTGTAAATAGTTTAACAAGATACGACTAAAAATCTGTTAAAAAAGCTGAAAACTGAAATATAATTTTAAGATTAGAAAGATTTGGAGTCCATTTTGTTATTTGTGATGTTTATTTTCGTTATCGACCCGAGATTTTCCTCTTTTACAGTGTTTTGGTTCATTTTGTAGGAAATAAAACAAAACGTAGAGCTAAAGGAAGACAAGTTAAGAAAGTCTGGGTTACTTCTTTAATATATTTTTGGTCATTTGAAAGTGCCTTCATTGTTTCTTCAAAAGTGCTTTTACGTGGAGCCAGAGCTAGGCTAGCAGTTTCCCTTCACTTCCAGTGTTTATGCTAAGCTAAGCTAATTGGCTGCAGCTTCATATTTAACGCAGACATACGAGCGAGGATATTCCCCAAACTGTCGGACTCTTCCTTTAACGCGTTGGCCGACACGTCTGGACGCTTTGTCGTTTTTGTCTGGAGGCTTTTTGAGCACATGGAGATTGGCCTGAATTTGCACATTTCATTTATTTGTCCAAACGTTAAACGGCCGATGAGCTGCAGGTGCCAGAACTGCTGATACGTTTGAGTTTTTAACCACCTATAGATTAAAAAAAAGCAGTTTTTAAATCACATCGAACAAACGGATGAGTGAAAAGAGAGAATAAGTGGCATGACTGTGCAAGAAAGAGATTAAATTATTGAAAATATATTATGAAAACAGCGGCAAGGTGTTTAAAGCTGTAAAACATAAAAGTACAAATGAGATGATGAACAGAGGATTGTGGGTAACTGCAGTAACCTCTTTTAAACTGAATAATGGTGGATATGTATGACAGAAAACTGCAATAATGGATATTTGTTGGTAGAGATGGTTCGGTTCGCTGTCATTCGGGACCATCGTAGAGTTACAGGAATATTATTTACTACTCTTAAACTTGTTTTTCTTTTTCCTTCCTGCTTTGTGTGTGGGGACGCTGGTTTTCTGCTGTGGGATGCTGGTGGGGTGTTTAAAGCATTATTATGTTATTTGTAGTGGGTCCAGCTCATTTCAATACGATCAAGAAACTGTTGTTTTGCTAACGCTAGCGTGTGTTTTTGTTCAGATCAATGCAAATGTTACGTTTGTAATTCGTCCCGTTGGACCGATCGTTCGCTAAACCCGAATTTCTTGGATTTGTCATAACGTTGAAGCGGCGCGCTGCCTCCTACAGGCCTGGATGCTACTAGACTTTTAGTAAATTTGTGTAAAAGTTGTGTAAAAGAGGTCACGTTAGCCAAACTCATCAGACATTAGAAATCATTTTACAGCAAATAATAATTAAAAAAAGATCTGCATGAATCACCAACTGGTGGTCACGATAACGTTTTAGTGCGTTAGCATGTTAGCATCACGTCTGAAGCAATCATACTCGCAACCGATTTAACAGACTCAAAATAAAAATCTGAGTCATTAATTGTAATCGAGCTAATGTTAGCATATTTAGCTAACTGCAGGGTTTAATTTAAATTTAAAACCTTTTTAATTCCATATTGAATGTAATTTAACACCTGTTTCACCATCATGAATTACAATTATTTGTTATTACGTCTCATTTCGAGCTGTAATTTTCAGAGATTGAGCTCTGATAATTAGCACAAAATGGTGAAATGACTCATTTTTTTTTAGGAGTTGCAATAGTTTGTCGATCAAAAGAAAATCAATCTGCAGCAGTTTTGATAATCGACTGTTGCTGGATTTAGCAGCAACATGTGAAAATGTTTTGGAGTCTGACTGACGAATGAGCGAAAAGAACAAAAGCAGCAGATGAGATACAGTACTTGACTCCTATAAACTAAATTAAAGACCTTTTAAAAAGTCCAGACGCTCTGTGAGTGGCTGCAGCCGTAGCAACAGTAACTAAGGGAGGCGGGGCTTAACGAACGGTCGGTTACAGTCGTGACTTTCCCGCCTTTTTTCCTGCACTGAGGCCTCTTTGTCCTTCCTCGTCTGATGTTTTCAAATCGTGTCGTTTTTTTCCTAAAGAAAGAAAAAGTTTCGGCGACCGGCTGAGAACAAAAACGCGACGCGAGCAGGTCGCCGTTTTATGTTTGTTTTTGTTTATTTTGAGTGTGCGTATGTGTTAATATATTAAAAAAAGAAAAGAAAGAAAAAAAAAAGAGAAAACTTTTGCTGTTTACCCATATTGGGTTCGCATTATGAATTAATGTTTATGGTCGACGATAGTTTTAAAGATATATTACTCCAGTTAACAATCACCACGACGTAGCTCCACAGATCACTTTAGTTAGAACTTCATATCCGCCGCTTCCATCCTCCCTCCGCCGCCTTCAGACGCCGCCTTCGTTTAGCTAGTTTCCTGCAGTCAGACCTGCACTAATACTACTGGTGGTATCGCTGAAACACTGCAGATCCAAACCCTGGTTCCGGCCTTCACACGGACGAGGACGCAGAGTCAAAGAGGTCCACGTTCTGTTGCCTTTTGTACACTGAGACGGACGTCGAGTTGGTGACGGGTCAGTTTTTATCGAGTCATTCTGAACAGAAAAGACGTCTGGTCGAATAAAACGATTCGTTCTGAGACGTCAAAGTGGAAATGGACGAAAACGAAACTCGTTTAAAGCCTTAAACACGTTTTAGAAGAAGTTTGGAAAATGTCAAACCTTCAGGATTTCTCTTTAAACTCGTGAGTAAAAGAAAAAAACAAATCATGCTTCTGTGTCATTTATAGAGTTCAGCTCCAGATAAGTCGACTGTTTGATCAGATTTCATTCAGAGAACCAAATATTTGCACAAAAAAAAATCCAGAGTTATTAGATTTTAAAGGAAACTTCAGGCAGTTCATTCTCACTGTTTTGGGGAATAATTTTCTGTCGGTTCGGTTAAAATCTGTCGTCGTGAAGCGCCAGAACAAACCCGTAAACTCTGCACGGTTAAGTCGATCAATCAGTTGGAAAACCAGAATCTTAATTATCAACTATTTGTTTTTTTTTTATTGCGAGATTTTCACACGTTTGTTCGTTAAAGTCGCTCAGATGTGATGATTTTCTGCTTTTCTTTGTCCCGTCAGACTGTAAACTGAACATTAAGGGTAGAAAATATCAGATTCTTGCTGATATTTTACTTTTTGTGCCCGTCTCTGTCGTGGAATCCCGTTTATTATTATATTAGCCGAGTGCAGACGTTAAATACAATCCTTTATAAACGTACATCCACTGACATGTGAACCATGCCGTTTTTATTTCACGCCAAACGTTTCGAGGCCTTCAGAGAATCAACAGTTGTTCCTTTTCCTGATTAAATCCGTCACCGGAACTCGTCCGTCGTCGGCCTTCGGCTCGCCTCCGTTTATTAAAGGTGACAAAGGTTTGGTTGTGAGCACTGATCTGAGGTCAGATGTCCGACAGAGTGGCTTCACTGCACTGTTCAACCTTCTCTAGAGATGTTTCCGCTAGAAGACGTTTCTGTCGTCGCCAGGGTTCAGCGGGACCGACGTCGACCCACTTCGGTCGGTTCACGTCGTCTGAATCCAGAACATTCAGACGGAATTTTCAGTCTCTGACGTTTGAATTAGAAAAGCTTCAGAGAGTCGGAGTGAAGCTGAACCGACCGAAGCAGGAGGTCCGACGTCGGCCTGCAGCTGTGTGTTTGTTGTGTTTTTCTATTTAATACCACTCTGTCTGTCTGTCTGTCTGTCTGTCTGTCTGTCTGTCTGTCTTTCCTTCTGCCAGGAGAAAATATTGACTATTTTTGATGTATGTATTCTTTCACCTAGAGAATAAGAATTAACGATTTCATAAAGAGATGAATTCACCTTGGAAATGAAATAAACTGATTTGTTCACAGTTTGGTTTGTCTTCACATTCTGTCTTTTACTTCTTTACTGCCGTACTCTACTTTTTTCTTTTATTTCTTTATGTTTTACTTGGAAAAACAGGTGGAAGAAATGTTTTTTTGTTTGTTTGTTTTGTTTGTTTTTGGGATGCTGCTGTTGTTATCTGACAAACATATGAAGTAGGGGATAAACCAGA